ATATTCTTCCATAACAAAGGCATCCTCCTTGGAGGATCTCGCACTGCATATAGCTTTTAATTTAGTTTTGAAAGCCATGTAAGCATTCTGTGATGCTATCTGAGCAAGAATATTGCTACACTTTTTATACTAAAGACACTTTAATTAAACTCCCATCATGAAAACAATTAGGCCAAATTTGCCGTACTTAACTAGTCAATAATTTAGTAGTTGGATCTCATTAATAGACTTCTGCCTGTGACTGTGTTGTTGTAAGCATGCAGCATAGCCACCAGCAGCGTGCTATAAGAATCAATCAGTGATCAATATTTTCCACGAGCATTAGCAGTGCTGTTTAAATAGGAAAATAAATAAATTAATCCCAACTGGATGCAGCTAAATGTAATGGTGGTTTAGGTGGGTTACGTCGCCTGTGGGCTCCTCCTGGCAGCCTTTTGCTCCCTGAGGTGCTCCTCAGCCAGTACACAGCCAAAAACAGTTTTTAAACCAGCAAAAGAGAGAAAAAATCCTTGTTGTCCTATCCCAGCCACTTGGAGGGGGGATCCCTATAGCTTGGGCTCTAGCACAGCTGCCTGGCCCCTCCAGGCAGCCTGCAGTTCAACACACCAGCTGCCTCCAGCTCGCAATTATTTCCTCACAGCTTCCTGCCCTGTTGCCTTCTGGGGGTTTTAAACTCAGCAGCAGCCTTTCTACAGCTGCTGCTACCAAGCAGAGTGGGATGGTCCCTCTTAAGAGGACGGGCCACCCTGTTACAGGTGGCTTCTGTCCCTCTCCCTTTCCATCTCTCTCTCTATCTTTCTCTGCCACGCTCTCTCTCGCTTTCTCTGTCCCTCTCCCTGTCTGATCAATGGTGGCCTCATTGCTTGTTTTGATGATGATTATTTTATACACTCCAGATTGTCTTTTTTGCATCTAGTGCACTTTTTGTTGCATTAAGTTGTACCAGTATGAAAGAAGAAGTAAATGAATGTGGTTTGATGATGATAATGAATGGATCTGTTGTGAGTACTTTTATTGCAATGGTAGTACTGACATTTCCCTAACAAATTGGTTCAGATCAAATCTCATTGCTAGCTTTATCTCTGTTCCATCTAACCTAGACTCAATGCTTTCTTGAGGATTCAATATCTATTTCAGATCCATTGAGGTTAATGAGGATTTTCCTTTAATTTCAGTACAGTTTGGATCAGGCCCATCACAATAAGAAATGCTGGATTAAGATACCCAAGAAATCTGGATTTAAGCAAATCTAAACATTTGCCTTGGGAGGCAAGAGGTGTTTCCTGTAGTAGGAAAATGTTGGTGTTTAGGAGTGAAGAGATACTGACTTTGAAATTGCGTTTTAACTTACTTTTTAGAAATCTGATTGTGGAATCTGATTGAACCAGACAAAGGAGAGAGGGTATTTATTTATTTTTTGTTGTTGCCCTATTTGGTATATTTAATAGTGTTGTTGGTTGGATTCACTGCCTAGTTGCTTGTCAGTTGTATGTTTTGTCTCATAGGCTAGGTACAAATTATACAGCTTTCTATAAGTGGCATAGTTTGGATTGGTAGAAAACAAAATATGTTTTCCCTGTGTGTGTGGGGTGGGGTGGGAAACATGACAAATTTTAGACCGGGTTCCACCATTTTTAAACCAGCCTATGTGTGCCAAAATTCTGTTTTGTTATGAGTATAAATCAGTGTATGATCACTTTTACCAATAAAAATATAATGTCTGTACCTGGCTTCAGAATTCATTGTGGGAGTATGTTTCTTTACTTTTCATTGTTACCCAGATTACAGTTAACCTTCTGGGTAGGCTATTGATAATAGAGACAGAAACAGGTCTACAGCCCAACCTTTTATTTGCTTGCATTTTAAAACATGAAAACAAACGTTTATCCCAAAGGCTATCTGGCTACCCATGACAGGACAACATAGATGTTCACTTATACCGGCTGGGGAGATTTGAGAGGTGGGAGGAGGGTGGCACACAGATTGCCAGAAGGTCTTCTTGAATTTGCTGAGTTCTCCAAATTTCTCTCCAGCCTATGCCCTGTATTTTTAGATGGCTAGTTCTAATATTCTAACAGAAGATCTTTGATTGCTTTTATTTAAATTTCTTTGTTTCACTGAAACTTTTGGAACTGGACTAAATTAGATCTCTTGTGGACCTGGAAGGTATCAGTTAGCCCTCCCTTTTTCTTTTCCAAGGATATAAATTAAGATACCCAAGAAACCTGGATTTAAGCAAATCTAAACATTTGCCTTGGGAGGCAATAGATGTTTCCTGTAGTAGGAAAATGTTTGTGTTTAGGAGTGAAGAGATACTGACTTTGAAATTGCGTTTTAATATACCTTTCCTTCCCATTGTGGAGTGTTGTTCAGCACTGGCCTGTTTCTTCTTACCTTAGTTTATGGTCTTGTCTGACGAGGCTGTTTTTGTTTTTATAAATTATCTAAGCACCTTAACAAAAATGTATCTGTTATAGCAAAATAACATTTAATACATTTGGTTACATCAGTCACTACTACTAATATTTTAAGATAAAACTATGATATAGTGTATACGGATTATTTAATGTATGATCCTCTGTTATCTCCTTCCAGGCCTTGTGCTTTGTTTAATTGTGTTTGGTGACTTCCTTTACTTGGCTCACCAAGCTAGTTGTTACATCTGCAAAGGTTTATTCTACGGTCACTCAGAAAGAGGCTTTGGGACCTTCTGCCTAGCCACAGTCCTGTAGCTTTGAAAATGGCCAAGGCTGGCAACACCATACCCATGCACTTCAGGTGCTAATAAAATAGGAGGGTCCTTTACTCCTAAATCCCTGAATGGAGTTGGGGAGCAGTGGGATTCTAGGGATAGTGATCTAGAAGAAGGATGGTTCAGTCTGGTATTTGGGAGACCTGCTTCATGTTTCCTTTCTGCTGTCTGCCTCTATGACTTAATGGCAATTCCATTATTTTGTAAATGGAAAAAATAGACCTGCATCTATTATTAGACCTCTGGCAAGAGACATACATTAAAGACGGAGAAGAATTTAGGTATCAGCAGGGTGAAGATTATTAAAGTACCATGGGTAGAAAGATAATTACTCACTGAGACTATGTGGCAGAGAAATACGGAAGGTGAAAGTGTTTGTGTGAGCTGGTAGGCTGGCTGCCACTGGGTGTGGATAAACGTACATTACAGCCACTTCCAAAGGGGAAGGAGAGCTACTGGTCAGTAGCTCACAGCAGCTGGTACAATCTAGCTGTAGTGTCCACATGAGCCTGTAGCAGTACTCATTGACCCCAGCTTTAACCCTGAATGAAGCAGGGTCAAAGTTGGAGTGGTTTTCTGTACTTGCATTGCTACAAAATCATGCAGATGTAGCAGCTACATCCTAACAGCTGGCATTGGTGTCCCTTGGATAACAATGAAATTGCTAAATCTGTCTATGCATACTGTATTTGGGTTTGCATCTTTTCCCCTTGTAGAAAAGATCTGCATAGCAGGGTACCAGAAAAGTACTTGCATTTACACTCTTTAAAGGCTGTCTTCAGAGTTCTAGTGCATTCACTCATACTTAAGTTAGAGATGCCTCTTTGGATACACAGACTTTTGGAGAACTGTTGGCTTTTTTGTTTGCTCTGCTTTGCACTGAAGAAATAATTAAAAGTTCATATGAACCTACTTAAACTGTAAGCTCTGAGGGACATGTATGACACTTTGTTCTGTGTTTTGAACAGCACCAAATGCATTTAGGTCCTGTTTCATGACTAGGGCTCCTCACCACTACTGTTGTGCAAATAATAATACTAGTAATGATGATCATCATAGGCTAGCGCTGAAGCTTGAGGCTATTGCTCCTAGTCTTGTCTCCTACAGCCACAGAGAAAAGCTCATCTCCATCCTCTGTAATTGCCCTTCAGATGTTTGAAGACTTATCAAATCCACCCTTGGTCTTCTTATGTGATCCAACACACAATGGTGAGGGGCCAGCCTGACAGAATTTGACTCTGCACTGCCTGCATCCATCTGCCCATGTACTGCCTTTTGATCCTGCACCACCTCTGCCTAACCTAGCATGCTGGGCTGGGGTTGTTTGGCTTTCATCTGACCCAGCACACTGCTCTACCTCTGCCCAGCGTAGCATGCCAGAATTGGGCCCTGCACGAGCTCCGCCCCACTCAGCACACTGGGATCAGGCCGTGTTGCCTCCTGCTAGCCTAGCATGCTAGGATTTGTTTCTACACTGCTTCCACCTGGCCCAGCATGCCAGATGCAATGCACAGGGCCATGTTATTCAGCTCAGGGGCCTCCCCACGAGGTTGGAAATTTGACAGTAGGGGAGCAGCAATTGCTGCTGCGATTCCCTTGCTGCCATGGGGAGCCCGGATGACATAGCTGCGCAGGCTGGATCTGGGTAATGGGCTCAGGGTGGAGTCCCCCTGATATAGCAGAAGGTATAAATAATCCTTGGGGAGATAAATCTTTATGCGTGGTTAGGAGCACTCTGGCCACTGAGAAACAGTGCAGCTCATGTTGTGTCGCAAGAATGTGGTCTTGTTCCTGCTTTTCCTGTGCCAGTGAATTTGCATCCTTTCTTACATGCCTACTGAATTAGACTGGACAGACTGAAGAGCGCGTGTTAAAGTAGATCCATGATGCATGATTCCCCACTGTTATAAACATATCTAGGATGTTGTTCTTTGCTGCTTCTCAAAGAATAGAGATGTAGATGTAAACCTAATAAAAGTAATGATGGTATTCCGAGTTCAGATTAAAACAGTGGATTACTGTGGAGAACTATTATAAACATGCCTCCTCCTGTTGGAGATGGACCAAGTTGCTCTGCATCCATTTAACAGGAATACCCACTTCAGCCCACTCTTCTGAATCTAATAGCAAATACTGATACCAGAATGGGGTTCTGTAATTTTTATTAAATGCCTTTTATTATATCATGGACGTTGTTGTCCATGTATTAGACAGAGAATTAAAATGGTGTTACTTTCCTGTTTTTTAGGACAGAGTTCATACAGAAGGGCAGAATATCCATTACAGGGGCTGGGTTGCTCAACTGCGTATTGGAAGCTTTTGCTCAAGCATTTTTCAATCAAGGTGTGAAGAAGGTAGGTTTGTTTATTATTTGTTCCTGCAATTACATTTTAAATCCAGTTGGAGTTTTAAAATAGGATTGGAATTTACACTTGGCTTCCATACCCCTCTTTAAAAGATTACTTTGGCTTATTCCTGTAATGGAGAACAATAAATAAAACAAGAAATAGGATACAGTTTCAACATGTAATGCTAATTTTCCCACTGTATTTTAAAGCATAAACCATACCAGATCAATTTTCATAATTCATTATTATCTCTGACTTCCTCTAGGCATTGAAACACTTTTTTCCAGCTAATATTTCATTGTATCAGTTAATATACTGTAACAATAATAATGCAGTGTAGTTCTCAAGCACCTCTACATCCAGATATCAAGAAGTACTTAATGAATATGAAGTATTTTGTCAGACCTTTTTTCTCAGTGATGTTGGATGTTTTCAGCAATTTGATAGTAAGACTGACCAGTCTCCTTGTAATGATTTTATATAGATCAGTAATTCTGTCTTATCAGTAAAAAATTATAACAGGGTAAAAGCTACTCTGCTATCCAGTAGCGCACCTCAAAGAAATTAGTATGCAGGTATCTTTAGTATTAGAAAGCCATGCTGTATTGATAATGTGGGTTTAACAATAAAATCTCATGTAATTGTTCACCATGAAATTGCATTTTGTTGAGCTCTTACATTTTAGAAAGCCGTGAGTAGAAGAAACAATGGTGAGGTCCAGCTTATTCCATGTATACTGCAGATCTTTTTGAGCTAAAGGAAAGTAAAGAGAACACTGGAAAGGAAGCCTTTTCACTGAGAAATACACAATTTGTGTGACACGCATCTCACTTTTATGATGTGCACAGGCAGAAGCAGGTGAATGATTATGGTGCATTTTTGTCATAGGGGAAAGACATGAATTGTACATGGCACAAGAATGTGATTGACCTGGAGTTCTGGGATGTCTTTTACTGTGCTTTACTTCTCTACCAGAACTAATCTGCCTGTCAAATGATCTTGAAGAGCTGGGCTGTCCAAGGAGTCTCTATTCAGTCTTATTCATTGATGGCCACAAGTGATTTTTTTCAGAGTGGGATTTTCAAAAAAGTTCAGTGTTAGCTTATTCCTGCTCCCCTTGGGTGCCTATACATGTGCAGTGAGGCTGCTCTGATGCTCTGCAATTCCAACGATTAATCGAGTCTGCTGGAGCATGGTAATTACTGCACTCCAGCAGACTCCAGCATCTTGTGTATTAGTGTCCCTGCACTGAAAAATGGTGGTGGGGGCGCTTTAACTAAAGCTTAGTCAACGAGCTTTAGTCAAAGCGCCCTTACCGCCATTTTTCAGCGTGGGGCTTGTTGATGCATGAGACGCTCCAGGCACTTTAATTAAAGTGCCCCCCACTCCCAGAGCACATATATAAACACCCCTAGATGTCAATGGGAGTTTGCCATTGAATCTGTGGACCCCAGGTTGAAAACCACTGTTCTAAAAAACACAGATTGAATATGGCCCTGTGTACATGTTAGACTTAAGGTATGATTAATTAATCAGTTACTGGTGTGATAAAAAGAGGAATAAGCTACAAAGTTATTCCACATATTTAGCTGCTTCCTATCATGCCATTCATTGATTGTGTGGCCAGGGACCTCTGTGGCTGGGAGCCCTGTCAGTTAATTGGTGCTCCCAGCTGTGTGGGCCTACATGCACTCCTGAGCTTGATAGCTCCCAGCTGACAGGGCTTCCAGCTGAAGGGGTGCATGGTGCACCCCTATGACTGGGTGCCCCATCAGCTCCCAGCTGTGGGAGCTTGTTTCTTGCTGGTACGGGGGAGCCCAGGATTGAGTTGGCACATGTGGTATGGCAATTGTGCGGATTGCATATTAGATCCCATCACACCTATACCTTCATGTGTTGAGGGGCCCTAAAGGACCACACTAATATTTTGAAGGTTTCATACTGGGGGTTGACTATGGTTGACTATATTCCCACAGCCAGTGCTGAGTCGAAGAGTTATTCTTATAGAAATATCCACCGTTCAGATTTCATCCACTGATGATTCAGTTAATCCTAAAGACAATCTTGAAATCATTAATAAGGATAGTCCTTTTATTCTTTAATGAATTGCCTTTTTCTGTATTGGAGAAGAAATTATGAAACAATCCATTCATATCTATTGAACCATCTTGAGATGTTGATTTGTATCTGTACTAAATTGGTATATGGTATTCAGAAAAGGCACTTCTTCTCTTTAAATCTGATCTTTCTAGAGCTTTTAATCAGCAGAACTATAGAACAACAAACCCAGCTATGCCCCACTCTCTGTCTTTTAACCACCTGTCCCCTTATAAACCTACTTCTGCTTTTAGTAAGATAAGGCTTATGGGAAGGGGGTGGAAGGCAGCAGTGAGCCTGGAGAAAGGCGTCAAAGGAGTAGGAGATGGATTTCAGGTAGGATCAGAAGAAAATGTTACATTAATATTTATAGTATGAATTGACTATATTCAAGCTTCTGTTTTCACACACAATCAGCATTAAATATCTCTGTTCCTATAGTAATAAAGTAAAGGTACTTCTATTCAGAGAGCACTATAGAAGAAAAAGGTGATTTGACTTGGTATATATTACTGCTGAGATACAATCCCACTACCTTGTATAAAACTGTTTTTTAAAATACAAAAAACGAATGCCATTGAAATCTATGGCTTGACAGAGCTCTGAATTTCTTCTTTGATTTAATTCACATGCTGAACAAATATTGTACCTGAAGATGGGGGAGAAGCTGTGAAGTTACTTAGGTATTGATTTTAGTTTGTAG